TCCCAAAATGCCAAAATGGAACAGAACAAAATAAAAACCTTGAAAAACAACAACTCTATGAATAAAGTCTTCTGTTTTCACAGACAGTGAAAGAATCAGAGAGAAAGAAGTGTCATGAGAAACAAAACAGACGGTTTTATCAGGCGGGAGTGGGAAAACTGCATAACGCTCTCTGTTCACTTCCTCATCTCACCTGTTTTGTCTCTCTGCCCTCAACTATATGTATACTATTACACTGTGGTAATATTTAATCAAGTTTAGGGAGGAAGGTGACAGACTGTCTCTGCTTGATAAGCTAACAGCAAAAGAGGCTTTTTGCTAAATGCAGAAAGTTTGGAAGTAAAGCAAACAAAGCAGCAGCAGAGCCAACAGAGCCAAACTAGAACCACATATCTAGTGGTTTCACTTGTAAAGAAACATTGTGCACACACACACACACACACAAGGACCATGTTAACGTTTCACACTTTCATGGAACCGAAGCTGAAGGACATAACTCTAGTCTGATAGGTTATATTCTGCAGGTGAAACTGCACAACACAACAGCTGTGTCAGGCTCATTCTTGTTCAACTTGACTCAGCTCATATTTCACTGCTGTGGTTTAAACTCCTATTTGCTTGGAAAAGACAATGACAAGAAAACACAATTATGGATTAGATTATTGTAATTATGATATTCAAAAAACACATTTTAAAGAAAATACATTATTATATTTTATACAATAATACATAAACGTTGTGCCTGCACCGAGTGGATAGTCAAACAAATTGAATCCTCATACATACATTATTGTATATTTATTACTTCATTTTTTTATTCTTATCTCTTTTTTATTATAGCACTAGGAATTAACAATAAGGGAAGGATTCTGGATCAGCGCCATGATGCGAACTTGTAGCCACAGTTTGAGTATGTGAGGGAGAGGAGCAGCGGAGGAGAGAAATTGGACTTTTCTGTGAGAGAGTGGAGCATGTTGGACCCTTTCCCTGTTTTCTTCGGACCCTGGAGCCCCGGAGCGCCTTTTCACTGGCACTCTGTACATATATTCACCTGGTGTTTTCTCACTGTCTTCTTTCACAAGGAATTCCTGGTGTGCGCCTGAGTCCGTCTAAAGAACGTGTCAGAAAGTGTTACAGACTAGTTGAGAAAAACTGCTGCATATGTTTTTAGTCTGGGTAAGAAAAAAATAAAACTAAAAAATTAAATCTTCTGTTGCACCATCTGTTGAGCCCATAGCAGAACCTTTGAAACATCATCATATGTGACAACAGTCAAGACAAAGGCCACTTTAATTTACATAGCAAAATATCACAAATTTGACCCAAAAGGCTTTGTCACCTGGACACATCGCAAACTGATCTGAAACAGCACAGAGTGAATATCAGAAAAATTTGATGAAAAATCAAAGAAACAAACTGATTATTATTAAAATTGTGCTGTTATTAAAAAGCTAAGAATATGATCCGGGAGGATGTCAAACAACTTTTTATCCAAAAATTG